GGACAAGGACAAGGACAAGGACAAGGACAAGGACAAGGACAAGGAAAAGGGAAAAGGGAAAAGGAAAAGGAAAAGTAAGTTATAAAGAAGCAGCTTCTGATCTTCTTAAAAGCAGTTACAAGTACATTTATATTTTACCCTAAGGTTACCACATAATTGCTTTCTTTCCATTCCCTACCATTTCTAATTATCAAATCCATAAATCAATCAATCAGTCAATAATAAATGAAAAATATTAATAATAAATGTGTATGTGTGTATATAAATTCGTGTGTATGAATATAATAAATTCACTTAGGTCAGTGTTTTGCGCATATACACGCGCAGGAAAGAAACCCTGACCTGAATAAATTCACAAGCCGGGTGTGTGTAAAACCTGCATAACTCAGCTGGATCTGCATGTTTTTAGAGCAAGTTTGGTCTAGTGGTGAAGACACCAGGCTAGAAAGCAGGAGATGGTGAGTTCCAGTCTGGCCTTGAAAGCCAGCTGGGTGACTTTGGGCCAGTCCCTTTCTCACAGCCCAACTCACCTCACAGGGTTGTTCTTGTGGGGAAAATAGGAGGAGGGAGGAGTATCAGGTATGTTCGCTGCCTTGAGTTATTTATAAAAATAATAAAGGTGGGATAAAAAATCTAAAAAGAAAAATCACAAGTTCATTTTTTTCTTGCTTCAGCAAAAAGTCCATAAGGGATTTCCAGTCAAATTGTGCTTTCCAGTCAAATAGTTGTTGTCCTTTCCCTAATCAAACAAAGTCATTTAAGTCAATGTTTCTCAACCTTGGCAACTTAAGACGTGTGGACTTCAACTCCTAGAATCCATGGCTGGCTGCAGAATTGTGGGAGTTGAAGTCCACACGTCTTCAAGTTGCCAAGTTTGAGAGATACTGATTTAGGTGGCTGCCAACTCCCTAACGCAACCCACTTTATTGAGTGGGTTCCTGCATTACATTCAGCCACGATTTGTTTTAGTGGTGGAACTTACTGGATCAACTCCAGTGTTGGGTTTGCACAGCCCACTCAGAGAAAACCAAACAAATCTGATTATAGTTTAGCACTATAAGTTTTTCAACCTTGGCAACTTGAAGATGTGTGGACTTCAACTCCCAGCATTTTCTCAACCTTGGCAACTTATTTCTCAACCGTGGCAACTTGAAGATGTGTGGACTTCAACTCCTAGCATTCCTCAGCCAGCCATGGATTCTGGGAGTTGGTCCAAACGTCTTAAGTTGCCAAGGTTGAGAAACATTGACTTAAATGACTGGTGTGGCATGTTGTGCGAACCAGACCTCTCTCAAAACCAGCTGAAGAAGCCCCATGCTTTCCAGCAACTTCATATTCAGCGGTGACTTTCTGCTCAAAGTTCTTTTATTGACTTGGGGGGTTAAGATGTCCAGTTTCATCCAGTTCATCAAGAATGTGGTTATCCATAACCCACTCACCTGAGCTGCCTCCTACAATGCAGTCAAGGTTATAGGGGTTGTTCGATCGGCCATACACACAGTTGCTTGACTCAAACCACATACACAGCTCGCTGCAGTTGGTCACCCCCAGAGGAATAGCGCCTGCTTGCTTTAACCGAGATACCACGACAGCATCCGACACGGAGATCACATTGCGCCGGCTGACCAGTCCAGAGGTATTGGGCATTCCTATGAAGGTGCAGAAACAAAGGCTTGAAAGAGGTCAGAGTTTCCCACGGCCCAAAAACCGACAAACAAGGAAACCTGAAAAGCTAAAAACAGGGAGACCGTTGTTCAAACAGCAACATGGCTTCACACTTCAGTGCGGCACAATTACCCAATAACAAGCAAAATCCTTTCCTCTCTTTTGTGGACCTTCTCATGTTAGGAAACCATTTCTGACCTCCTCTTCGTATTACTATTTGAAGCAATCGACCACCTCTTCTGCTGCTAATCCAAACCAGCGAAATTGTCAACCCAGAAAGAGAAATTCTAAAATACAAGTACTTTCTAAGTTGTTGCCTTCCTTCCCCCCTTTCTTGACCTTCTAAATTCTAGAACTGGAAATTTTCCTTCCGTTCCACAAAGAGAATCTCCCTGTCTGTCTTTGTGTAAAAGAGAGAGAATGTAAAGAGGAAGACATGTTGGAGATTTGGTGGAATTTTTCTTGATCTTCCCAACGCATTCTTTTGGCATAGCTGGCTTGCTCAGAAGGAGGCTACAAAGGAAGACACTGTTTGTGCATGATCTAAGAGGAACAGGCACAATCACTCACTCTCACACACACACACAAGCCAGCAATAAGAATGGAAACATGGTTGATTTAGAACAGTGTTTTTCAAACTTGGCAACTTTTAAATGTATGGACTTCAACTCCCAGAATTCCCCAGCCAGCATGGAATTCTGGGAGTTGAAGTTCACACATTTGAAAGTTGCCAAGTTTGAAAAACACTGATTTAGAAAGATCTGCCTGCAGAACGTTAGACTCAGGATTCTCAAGCGCTCCTGGGGAGCTGTCAGTCATGTTATCAGCACAGAGCTCTTGACACCCTCCACTTACGACCCGTGTATCACAGCCGACGTAAAAAGTTTTCCCTTTTTAAGGAATGTTTTTTCATTTTTACATTATGATCTATCTGTTTTGGAAAAGGCAGTATTTTCTATTAATCAAAGGATGCAACAATGTGTGTTAGCATGGCAGAGATTCTGTGATATCCTACAATAACATCTTGTGTGGTTCATATTATAGTAGTGAATTCACTGGGAAATCAGTGACTATTGATAAGTATAAAATATAAGATAGATTTTTTTCCCTTTTCCTTTTCGGTTTGTATTTTTAGTTTGTACTTTTAATGTTTTAAATTTTCCTTTTTTTAATTAAATTTTTGTTTTACGAAACATAAAGATACTCAAATAACACCCACAAAAATTGGTACGTACACCTGTTGGCCAATGCTACTGCAATTATGAATATTGTTTCTTATTGTCGTGTGGTTTCTAATCCTCTGGGTTTTTTCTTTTGCTGTGTACGTTGCTCTGAGCCGTGGAACAGTACAGAAATGTTAGCAAGGCAGGCAGACACTATTTATATCGTGCTGGATGCCTCCTACGCGTCTTTGAAAGGGAGAGAGGCATGTTAATGGTCAAAGGAAAAAAAAACAATGAAGAAGGACAGGTTAGGCAGGAACAACTGTGGGAGATGGTCCAGAGTCCAGATGGTGGACATGAACATCGAATCAAAGCCCTGCATCTTTTCTACGTGTTTCATGCGCGCAATGCATGCGGCAGCCACCATTTTGATTGTTTTGATGCTCTCCCCATGGTTCCTCTAGGCCAGTGTTGTCCAAAGTTGGCCACTTTAAGACGAGCGGACTTCAACTCCCAGAATTC